GTTATCGTAAATAACGTATCGTCGCACCATGATCCAGTGTGTGTATATAGAATTAGACGATGCGAACGTACAGCAGAATTGTATATACCTCATGACCGAATAAAGTAAACAATAGAAAATGCTGCGGATTTGGGGCTATGTAACCATCGACGCGTTCAGACGTAGGAGGTCAGTGACTATTGTGTTTATTATACACGTGTTTATGCATATAGCACGTGCAAAATCCCAAGCACGTCACTTACCATATTGTTTGTGCTGTGTATGTGTCTGGATACATAAGCCATCACATCTGTGATCTTATCATACTTCAGCAGTCGAACTGTCGAGCTATTTGGCTGAATCTGTGCTACACGGCATGTGTGAGCGAAAATTCCCGATGTACAATTTACGTCTATACTCTCCAGATTTACGTTTATGCATTCAAATCTGTTATTTTCGAACGATTTTACCTCAAAACTCGCAAATACGTAAAGATTCGATATACATTATGTAGGTATTGCGGTTGGATATCACAACCGCCCGTGGCAGTGTGAATTTACATTGGGCATTGTTTTTTTGTTTTGTTTTTTTTCCACAAATACATAAAAGTACTAGTTTCTTTTTTTGGCTTTTCCTTTGCAATGCAAATCGGCTAATTTAGCGATCATCTCTCTATTCAAATTATGTGCACAAAAACATGAGCGCAAATCAAAGTATACCTTTGGGATTGGAATAGCTTTATTCTAATTCGTACATATTCCGACAATCTGACGGTACACAAAACCGGTTTTGGTATTTATTTCTACATAGGGTTTTCCTAATTTCAAAGCTGGTATACAGTTTTGGGACTGTCCGATAAAATACTAAACCCGAACTCAGCAAACTCAAATGTGAAACTGTGGGGATAAACATTTTCAGCCAACGTAGGTCAGGAAAATAAATTGTTTATGATTACAGCCAGAATTTCTAATAATAGAACCATTTTGGCGGGTTCTATAAATAAACACGAGGTCAGGCCGGGAGAATACATCCTAAATATAAAATGCTTTTTGTTTTCTCTTGTGAGACAAGATGATGTTGCGATAATATTTGATAAATAGTATCTCGATGATGCTAAATACAATACATGCTACATGCAATCAGGACTGTAAAACATAGAAGTATACGCATAGTGTATGCACCGTGTTAGTGTACACATACAGTGTAGCCCAATAGAATGAGCCGCAGTTGACGAAGAACTGGGGATACACATACTCTATCCGACCTTTAAGGCCAATAATTTGTAACCACGCATTTTAATAGCCAATATATAACACTTATTGTTCTTAATTCGCGGGACATTATGTCGACTTCAAACCCCGTAGCGCCCGCTGGGTATGGCAAAATGTTAGGTGGGGATGCTAATAAAGACGAAAAAAAGAAGGTAGAGAAAGACAATCTGAGCAACAGTGATTTCAGGAAACTCATGATGACCCCAGCCGTAGGTGGGAAAAGCTCTTTTGACAGTTTTAAAGCGCCGCTGGCTAAAACCAGCGGTGTTAGCATTAAGGGTGTGAGCGCAAGCAAGCAAAAATATAAGGAGTACTATAAGCAGAAAGAAAAGGAGAAGAAGGAGCACGATGCAAAGTATAGGGATAGAGCGGCGGAGAGGAGAAAGACGGAGGATGCGGATGTAGTGGACGACCCGACTCAGGGTATGGAAGCTTAGGTTAATGTTTGATGGGTGTAGCGTTCTTGCATATCAATATTTATGTATCTTCCGTTGTTATACTTGTGAATCGGTCTACACATACATAAATACATATTTCTGTTATCTAAATATGTATTTTATATATATATATATATATATATATATATA